GGCCGCAGCCTGTGCGCCGGCGAGGCGCCGAGCCTTTCCTACCAAGAGCTCAAAGACCTGAAGAAGACGAACGTCCTCCACATAGACGTGCGGGAGAGGTGGGAGATCGACAGATTTGGGAAAATCCCAGCGTCCATCAACATACCGCGTAAGTTGCTAACGCTGCTGGCCTGGGGAGGTTGGGTGCTCGCCTTTGCCTGGTGCTGGAGTCTGTGGGCAAGTGGCGGTGACCGAGGAAAGAGGAGCTGTGCTAGGCAGCTCCTCGGATGTTGCGCGGCTAAACTTTTCCTCAAGAGGAATTAGAAGCCTAACAGTGTAAGCCTGGCTGCAGATGAAGAATGAATGAGACCTTTTTTTTTTTTTTTTTCTGTATTTTCCAGTGGGTGAATTAGTGGAAGCTCTACAAATGGACCCAGCGGCGTTCAAGGAGCAGTACAATCAAAAGATGCCATCCAAGTCAGACCCTGTGGTTTTCTCCTGTTTGGCAGGAAAAAGAAGTAAACAAGCACTCGGTTTTGCCACCTCCTTGGGTTTCAGCAGGTATGACTTGTGCATGTAAGGGTGGGATTAATGCGGCCTCCCCCCCCCGAAGCAGAACTCGTACTCAGCTTCTTGTGGGCAAGGGTAAAAATTCAAATGTGGAATATGAACAAAGCAACTGATATTTGAGTTAGACACCTCCTCTTGTCTTTCAAGGTTCAGTGCAGACACCATTGGGTGTTCCAGCAAAGTGAGGTGTATTGCCCTGTGAAACAACTCCTCAGCAGCTCTGCGCATGTGCTGCGGGGGACACAGTCTGCTACAAAACCATGGTGCCACTAAAGGGCCTTTCTGCCTCTCAGGGCTCCCTCGCCAAGGCGTTGCTTCCTTACACAGTTTCATGAGCACTAGTCCTCAGATGCAGAATGATCGGAAAGGTGGAGAACTGCTCGCTGTGGTAGAAGTACAATCTTAAATTAGAGTAAATAGTTTATGAAACCACACCCTTTGTTAAATTGCAGTTCTCCTTGTACAGTTCACTGTTGACAAAGTACGCCTTCACTTTCAGTAAGCATTGGATTGTTTGCCAGGAGTAAAGCAGTGAAGGCAATAGCTAAAAAGACAATGAGATTGGTAAGAGTGAAAGCAAAAGCAGCATTTGGTTGGCAGAATTGTTACACCCATGCCAGAAGGTGTCTCTCTGGCTTGAAGACTGCAGATAGAATTTAAAAAATTGGTTGTTTGCTTATGTTTTCGCTGAACTGCAATTCATGAACTGGACTATCCCTGCTAGTTCTAGTCAAAAGTAGGGAACCACATTCTTATTAATAAGTGCAAGATATCCTCCATTACTGTTTTTCATGCTGCCTAATTGAAGGAGTCAGTATTGTTTTGCATGGTGGGTTTTTGTTTTCTAGACTTTAGTTTTGTGCAGGCTTATGTCAGATTTATAGAGCATGTAGGTTTGTAAGAAACTAAAGATCAGTGTGCTGCATTTATTTGATGACATCTGAAGTGTTAGACATAATAACATGTAAATCTCCCACTGCAGTGAGTCTGTTAAAGAAGGGGCAAACTGTTTCATTGATCCAGCTGCTACTACTTGCTTGATGTTTGATGTCCAGCATTGTGCCATTTAGAAGAAAAGAGTTACAGAACACACTGCATGGAAGCAGGCAGTATTAAAAGTACAAGGAATGTCGATCTGGCTCAGTGAAGCTAGGTACAAGTGTGTTTGATTGCAGAGAATTTCTGTATGTTTTTTTTTCTCTGAATTTTTTTTTTTTTTTGGTTGGGTTGGGTTTTTTTGTCATGTCCTCTTAGATACCTTCTTCAAGAAGAGTCCTTCTTAATACTGTATCTTCTGCGTATTTTCAGAGTTCAGCAATATGGTGGTGGCTTTGAGGATTGGGTAAAACATGAACCTCCAGAGCAGAAATGAAGATGACTACCCCACCCTTGCCCCGTCAAGGCTTCAGGATGGTTTGTAGATTTTAGCATTCAAACTACCTGCATTCCACTTCCAGAATACAGCCCACTTCTGTTTTCTTGTGTAAATGGACACTCACCTTCAAATAGCCGTGCACATCAACTGCTTGATTTAAATTATATCTATAGACTATGACATGAACAGAGGACGTTAAATTTGTTCAGCCTTTACTTTGGGCTATGTTTTTTGGTGAGAGTACGCAAAGAGAACCTAAGTGCTTATTATGTTTACTAAGATTTTTGTATGATGTAGTTTATGACTGTTTAAACTGATGACAATAGGACAAATAAAATTACCCTCTCCCAAATAACTGTGTTGGGTAGTTTGTTTAGAATAGTGAAACTGAAGATACTCTAATGGAATTGCCCTAAGCACAGACTTATTATACTTCATGTGTAGCTGGAGTTTTAAAATAGTTGCTGTGTTTTCAAAGAGTACAAGTAAGAGTACAAATTTTTAGGTTTGTACTATGTGACTGTAAGGCAAAAACTTCACTACTGGTCAGGAAACTGATCTGATGCTAGAATACTCAAAATGTTGTGCAATTCCTTGTGTTAGAAGTATATCAATGTTTATACACAGATCTGCTTCTGAGCACAAAATGCTATAGCAGTCAGTCAGCAACTTCTGTTCCCTCAGCAGCTCAGTATCAAGTAAGAACTTGCCTATATTTGAAGTTGTTATTACAGAGATGTAATCATTTTAGGCTGGAAAATTTGAGGTGTCCAAGGAAGTTACTAAACTCTCTTCCTTCTTTAATGTACGTTAATTTGCGTGTCTTAAACATTAAAAAAACAAACCGACCCATCCTATCCCCACCTATAAATTTGCATAGTCATAATTTTAAGAATTTTTTTGTTTGTTTTTTAATGCTGTTAGCAGTTCAGGGTAACTAGCAAAGGTGAATTGCTCTGGCCTCTAGAAAATTTAAGTCCTAGCACAGAAGTTCAGGACTCTGCAGGATGTCTGGAAAAAGGAATTAATATTTCTGGTTCTGCTCTAATCAGTATTGCAGGCAATGTGCACTTACCCTACAGCTCTTCCATTCTGACAGTGCAGTCTGCATGGTAGGACCTAAAAAATACACCCTCACAAGTTTAGAGAACAGAGAAGAGAAAGTGACTAATCTTACTAGGATTTTATTTCTATTAAGTCCCGCCGTCTCTCTACAGTCATTTGTTTCTAGAGGAGAACACCCATAGCTGGCACAGCCAGCTGCGGTAGCTGTGCTGCCCTGACCGTCTGTCTTACTGCTGTTTCTGTTCTCTCATCTTTGCTAATAATTAGAGACCCTGTAGTGTAGCTGTCAGAACAATGAGTGCATTTTTCTGCAAAGTATCATTGACTTTTTAGCGGTCTTATTGCTATACTTTATTTCCAATCCATAAAAAAAAACCCCAAACAACTTAAGAACCAGAATTTAGACTAATCTCCAAAATACTGGTTTAGTTTAACTGATGAATTGATGGGAGTAAGATGAAATTAAAATGCCAGGATGAGTATGGGTGTTACCTTGTTGCAGTCAATTACTCTGCAGTTCTCACTACCTTACTCTTGAAAGGTTTTCTTCAGACTGGATCGGCAGGAGTAATAGATGCTGACAGTTTTGTTGGATTTAGCCAAATCCTACAATCTGTTAATTTTGCCTGTTTAACATGACCTAGGCTGTCAGTTTCACAATGCTGTGAGCACACAGTCAAAGGGACAACTGAAGCCCACTGTTGGCTGCATCGTGCCAGGCCTCACCAGGACTAATGAAGCCTTTTGATCTAGATCATTAAGGTCAGATTGTATAGAAACGCTGAGACACACTGAAAATATTTAGCTAAATGTGTAATTAATCATGCCTAGTTGTACTGACCAAGCCACAAAACTTCAGTATACAGATGAACAAAGCAAGGAGATCTAATCAACTAAACTTAGTCATGATTTAGTCATTATGTGGCCAGTGCTTCCTTTTGTAGCTACGTTAAAGTTTTTTGGGAACACCTAAAATTACATAGCCACAAAGAATGAACAACAAACAGTTATATTGGGTCACACCAAGATCTGTCTAGCCCATTATGTTCTGTTTGGCAGCAACCAGTAATAAACAACAATTTATGACTTGGGAGTGCTTTGATAGCTCCTTCAGGCTTTGCATGTCTTGGTATATTTGGGTATTTGTAAATTTTTAGCACAAACTCCCAGCAGTCACAGCAGGCTGCACTGGGTTTAACAATGTGGTGTGAGAAGAATTCTTTCCTTTTGCTGCTTCTCATCTTGCCATGTATTGTTTTCATTGGATGCTCCTGCTTCTCCTGTCAGAAGTGATGAAACAGTTGTCACCGCATCAGTCTTCACACCACTGGTGATTTTTCTAGACCTCTGCTATCCTTTCTGAGCTGAGGAGTTGTGGATTTTTCTTTTTTAATTGGAAAGCTACTGTATACCTCTTTTATTGTCATTATTTTTTATTAGTCTTGGTAGCTTTTTGCAAAGTGTTTCTCTAACTATTTGTAGCTTGTCAAAGTTGATGATCCTTTCTGTGTCTTCCTCTGTATCTTCCTTACGTGGATATAACTTGCTTTTCAAATTACGCTTTTTGAGTTAAACAACTTGTCTGATCCAGTTGAGTTTGCTTCCTTTTAGACTTTTCCTTAAGTCTTTTTGGCATAGATGGCCTGTGTTTGCTTCAACACTCCACTGTCACCTGTAACCATATTATCTGTGAAGCCTTTCAGCTACCTCTCTTTTCATGAGATACCTCATTTTTATGCATTTCTCTCCTTTGAAATGAAGCACAGTAAAGGTGATTTTTTTAACGTCTGGTTGGTAGCAAAGCTGTTGAATTCACATTATGTTCCATTTCCCATTGTTCCAATTTACATCTTTCTTTTTATAACTGTCATCACTGAATCCAGTCCTTTGACTGCACTTTATTGCCTTTTGCTGTTTACACTGGAATCAGAGCTGGTAAAACTATCCTCACCTCCCCAGTAGAGAAATGACTTAAGATAATTCTATTTACCATCAAGAAATGCCTGGTATTTTAGCTCTGAGGTTTAGGTCACGTAGGTAATTTAGGTGTGAAGTAAAGTCTGCAAAGGCTCTTTAGCAGCAAGAAAAACACTCCAGCCAGAATTCTTCACTATAGTGTGAAATCCCTAATTTGAAAACATTACCTTTCTTAGCAGATTATGTGGTATATGCGAGAAGACTGATATTTACCTAAAGAACAGTTCCTGTTTAAGAACTCCACACAGTGGTCAAGTTGCATTGATTTATTCCTACTCCCCAAGTCCACATTACAAATAGCACATTTTAGACTTCAAGACACAAAGGCAAATAGCCAAATTCCACTTCATCAATCAAGTGTCTATAACAGGTATGGATCAAATGGCAACAAAAGTAGCAAAGACCAAAATGTTTATCTTTTCTATCTCACCAAAGTGGTTTGGGCTTGTTTACCTAATGTTTTACGAAAATCACCTGAACAGAAACAAATGCTAGTAGCCTAATGGGCTACATACAAACACACTTCCATTATATTTCACTGAATAACCAGCCTATTACAAAGACAGGTATTTGCAAAAACAGGTTTGTTTGGTTTTTTTTTTAAGGGGCCAGTTTTTTGAACCAAGATGCATCACAGAGCAAGGGTTTTCAAGAATTTCCCTCCAGTATTTCAGACCAGTGAAATGTGGTGCTTCAGGGGGAAAAAAAAATTGAGAACAATGTTACTGCACTTTATTTTATCATTCAATTTTTATACTTGGGCTAGTCAGCATTATCATTCAAAATGAAGTTGTACAGAACTTAATTAGAAACAAAGCTATCTAAAAATCAAGAAATTAGATTTAGGCCAATTCCTGATTTCAGTGGGATATCTGCCTGAGTAAGGAACACAGGATATGGCCTTCTGTTTGAAGGAATCTCATTTTCTCCAGCACACAGTTATCCAAGGAATCCCATTTCAGTTATTCTAAAGAGTTGCTCCTAACATCACAATTAAAATTAGCCAGTATGAAGCTCACTGAAAGCTTGATCCTCTTAAATAAATTCTCTAATGAACCACACAAATTCACACTAACAGTGAAGGCAGACTAACAGTGTATATCTTTTGCACAAAAAAAATCCGACATACAAAATAGCAATCGTATCCAGATTTGTACTTGATTGTGAAATACTCCGATTGTACTATACAGTACATTTACTTGCAAAAAAAAAAATCAATAATATGTTGGATTTTTTAAATTCCTAACACTTGAAATGTTTAAGAAAACTGCAGAATCACTATACATATTGCACTTCTCTGGTAAGCTGGGCTACTACGCTTCATGGCAAAAACATCCAAGTACATTTACTGAGTAAAACATTTTTCTAATCCAAAAAAGGAAATTAATTTCTTTCCTGCAGCTTTCATTAAAACTGTAACGATATTCTTTGCAGGCTCTTCTAGGCTTTGTTTCTGAAGGATTGCTGTGTTCCTTGTTACAGAATCCGTATTTATTTTTAAAAAAAAAAAATCAACAAAACTCAAGGTAATGAACAGATTTAACATACAGTGCACTATCATCCTTCAATCACAAACAAAATTAAGACAACACAAGTCATTAATGCAGTTACACTTACGCTTCAGGTTACTGTTGCTTTAAAAATAGTTCACTTCAATGGCAAGTTACAATTTTCTCAAAGCAAACAAAACCAATAATGAACTATTTGTTTTGAGTGGATAGTGTTAATGTTTTGCACCTTAGTTTAACAGTTTGATTCCTTACACCAAAAAATCTTAGTACGTTTGCTCCAGCGTCAGAGAAAATGATGCAGTTTTAGAGAAAAAGCTTTCAAAATGCTTGACACAAACAAGCTATTCATTCTTCAAGTTCTTTGTCAAAGATGTTACTAAAACCTTCTGTCCATTTCATGAACACAGGAAAGATCCCAGGGTGTCTTGAGTCAAAGTGGTCCATAAACAAATTCTTTGGAATGTCTTAAGATTGGCTATAACTAGAGTTCTGGCTACCATTTGGACCCTGTTCTCCTTCACTGTTTGGAAGAAAAGAAAAAACAAAACCACATGTCTTCAAAAAGAAGCATCATATTACATTTTTGTCTTTTTTAATTAAAAAATACGGTATTCTGAAAGTAGTAAAACCCTTTTGAAGAAAATACTTCAACATACAGACAAATAGGTTAAGATATTCTGCTCAGTTTCATAAAGAATCATAGAATCATTTAGGTTGGAAGACCTTTAAGATCATCCAGTCCAACCATTAACTGAACATTACCAAGTCCACCACTAAAATGCAAAGGTTGTTCTCAGCATGCATAAATAAATCCCCATGCAGCTGCCTGCTGAATCTACTTCTGAAGTCAACATTTCAAAGTTCACATTACATAAGCATGTGCACAGGAATTTGCATGTGCAGATTCCCAACAGTGATATTTAATCACAGTAATTAAATACGACATCAAGCAGGCCCAGTTCCAATGAATCTGGCCCAGCCAGGGAGCCTCACACTGCGGTTCCTTACATTTGCTAAGCTGTATTGATCACTTTCTAATCACATTAACGCTATCCATAAAACAATGAATGTTCTGCTTCTCACTAGCTCCTGAACAATCAGACTGGCCATTTGTAATAGAAAGGTCTGTGCCGTAAAAACATACGCTGTACCTCAAATTAAACATTTACTCATTCTTAAGATAGTATTCCAGTTTTTCCATGTGAAAAGTATATTAAGGAAGTACAGTACCTGTTTGGAGGTGGTTTTGGTTTAGGCATTTTACTAAGAATAGTAGCCATCTCTTTTCTCTCATCAAAGTTCTTCCACTGCTCATACAGCTTCAGAATAACCCTGATTATTTCTAAAATCTGATTAGAAAGAAAAGATATCCTAAGGTCAGACAGACTAGTGATTTTATCTTTGTCATAGTCAGTTTAAGTGTGTAATTAATTAAACATGCCCCGAACTTAAATCAAGCAGCACAATTTTCATATTATAAACAGAGCTGACTCACATTTAATCTGGTCTGGCAATCAACCATTTCTATAATTAGTTTTTTGATTTCTTTGTGAATGGTAGCCTGAACAGAATACTTTCCCTCCCATTCAACTGTATATACCACTTCTCCTCCCCTGCAAGCTAAAAAACTTTTCATTTATTTATTTGCAACTACTGCCACAGCTTATAACTATGCTACTGGGAAAATACAGACACCCAGCAGCATGACTGCAGCTAGATGACCATGGATTACCAGTACAGTAGCTGATGATTATCAATGCTCTATATACATTAGAGGCACAGTTTAGGGAAAAAAAAAGCCCCAAACCACAAAACGTTGGTCTGAATTCTTTCCTTCCAAGAAATAAAAAAAACCAAGGAGTGTCCAAATACTTCTCATTCTTCATTATATTATTATTATTATATTCTTACATACTTATAATAAGAATTGCTGAACCTTCATACTCCACTTCTGGAAGCGTAAGCATTCTCTACCAGTTTGGCCATTTTCTATCTACTGCACCTCAACTACCTCAATTTTGTATTAAATTTCTAATGGAATATTCTATATAAAAGGTGGATAATGTTTGGTTCATAATTTGTTTCATCATTCTCTAAATTGATAAAGTAGGCTTCTTTCTTTTTTTTAATATACAGACTTTGATTAAGTGCTAGAACAATATATATCCTTGCAACAAAAGTCATAGTTGGCCAAGAGGTCCATGGTGTTAATGTAAAAAAAAAAAAAAAAAAAAAATCCAGCTTAGATTCTATCACTGGCATGAGAACCAAGACATGTAAACATTCAAACATGTTCCGTATCAAGCTTACGGTAACCATATCTGTCAAATATAGGTTGGTTCTCCTCTGCTGCCAATTTATTATCACCCTGCTTTTACATGCATGACAGCATAATTCCCAGAGCTCTTGATGCAGCATAACATCCATACTGCACTTAGATTTGAAGACGAATCCTGGAATACAAATACAATGCCAGGATATCATCAGTGGGATAAAGGGCAATACTAAGGGCACAGAGGGCAATGGTATGTCTCATCCGTAATATGCTATTAAATTCCAGGCACTCAGTTTCAAAAAAGATAGACTGAAAAATACGTGCAGAGTGAAACAGCATGATAAGAAGTAGGAGTACTAGTTTGGCTTGCTTGCTGGAGCTAAACAAAGGTTAAAGAAGTCAACCTAAAAAGTAAAAGGAACTAGTGAAGATGAACAACATTACTGGTATGAGAACAACTGCACCTTGGAACCTGATAAATTTATGAAGGGGATTATTTGACATAGAGTTTGCAATAGCAGGGAACTCAGCTGAATGATCTTGGCATCCCCCTGTTTAACATTGATTGAAGTCACGGTCCTGGTCATCCTGAAAGTGTCAAGAATGTTTTACGCTCTGCTACACTACATATATTTATAGGGAGAAGATGAGAACAGCATGTAGGCACGACGCTGAAAGGCGACTCAGAAAATCACATGCACTAGAATTTAAAAGTCAAACTTGAGCTGGCAATCTTGAATGATGAAAAACACTGGGAATTCTTTTTCTGGCAAAAAATGCAAAGGATATTGGTTTTATATTTCCATCTGAAAAATGGCAACACCAGCAACACTTTGCCGTTATGCAATGGTTCTGTCTCGACTTTCAGAGCAGGGTGATAATCAAAGGACCTGACATTGTCTCCCTCCCCGAGAGATCTACCTAATTTCAACAGCGCCTAACACATGATCACTGATTGAAGTTCAAATCAGTACCGCAGACATGCAAGACAGTAGTTTTATAACCATGACTACCATTTCTGGTCAGTCCATAACAGGTGGCGGCAATTAAAAACAGAGTACCTTTTCCATATCAACAGATAGCTCAGCAAACCATTGCCTTGCATCCTTCTGCTGGACAACACAGGCCACGTGTAGGCAAGCTGCAAAGATCAGGTGACATGAATACTGAACAAAGATCCACTCTTAATACAGTCAGAAACATTCAATTTTTTATAAACACTATACAGTTCAACAGAGAAAACTTGGGATTAATTACCTGATTTTTCTTCAAGACTTTTTAGGTTGCAAGGCTACACTGTCAGTACTGTATGAGACGCAAACTGAAGCACCTTATGAGGGCATTCTAAGGAATGCTTGTTGGTGTGACAGTGCACAGAATACATCCATTTAAACATGACAAGAGACAGTACTTGTGTTACTTACCTAGAGCTATCATGAAAGGAGGGTACAGCAGACAAAGATCAGTTCTATATGTGTCATTCACTATCCTCCTGTGCAAAAAAGAACTTTTAAGTATCGTCCTATTCACCTTTAGACTATATGACTTCAAAAACTGCTGTCAGTTTATAAATATTTTGTCAGTTTCCTGGACGGTAGAAGCAGTGAGGCTGCAGGGCAAAACAGCAAGAGGAGAGATCTCTTCCCTTGTAGAAATCTCTTAAAGCCTTTCATTTCTTCCCTTGTAGTCACAGCAGAAATTTATTTAGAAGCACTATTATAATACCATAAATGTCTTTCTGCAGAGGGTGTTGATGTAGACCGTAAAATAATTATCCCTGTTTCACAAATAAGGGCAAGCATAAAAGTAGTATTTTTACTGTCTTTCTGTATTTGAGAAACAGTTCAAGAATAAGAGTTCTGCTAACACAGCTAAAAACCCCTATATACTGCTTCTACCTCTTACAAGACACAACAGAAAGCTGACGTTGACAGAAAAAGATTACCTCTACTTATAGTCACCATTAAGTAGTGTAAAAAAATGTGCTATTAGAGCTAGTCTAAAAATAAAAATTAGACCACTGCAAAGAAAAAATTATTACAGGGCTGAAGACAGAATAAGCTAAGCCAGGGACATATACCCACGCACATTAACTAGGGCACCCTTTGTATTCACGTATGGCTAAGCCTGCTTTTGCTTAACCACCTTTGAAGCGTAACTATTAAACACTTGCTTTCTTGCTGAAAGGAGGCACTATTGTTAACCACTGTCTTCATTACCATGCGAGAGGTAGCAGCATATCTTCTTGGCCCATATCTTGCACATATTGGAGCAAAGGTCTATAAGGATGATAAACTATCAAACAGCAGTCCTAGGAAAAATGTCAACGGGATAAAAGTTAGATTACAATGCGGAATGTGTTGCCAGTTCACATTAAAAACATTTGGTTTACAAGTCAATTACTGATTTTTTTTTTTTTTAAAGTAGCATTCTGACACCTAACCCTGCTCTAATGAGGGCAGCGCTCTCTCTAGAATACCATTACATGGCATGGTCGCCAGTCTGTCCATGTCCTTCCCCTAAGAGACAGAGAAAGCCACATCTGCAGCACACTGAAACCTCATTTGCTTACAAACCCGTAATTCCCACTTGGAAACACAAAACACTGCCAGAAAACAGTCTGTCACTAAATACCATACATGGTAAGCATGCCAAAATAATTGACACTGGTTTGGAAAAAAAGAAAAGAAAAAAATCCACTGCTCTCAAATCCCCTCTTTTCAGGCCCATGTTGGTATAAACAAGGAGGAATAACCCTCTCGCTGAAAGCAGCCAGCTGTATGGATACTATAAGGAAAAGCCCCATTAAGTTGCATGTGCTGAACACTGAAGTGAGACACAGTTATTATACATACTATATATTGCATAGCGTACTGGAAAAATAAGTTAATCCCCAAAATGTAACTTCTTGTAAATGCAGTTACTTGTGATACTCCTGTATACAAAATTCAAGAGTTACTGCCATGTATAGCAGAGGCATCGAGGACTAAATCTAAACAGGAATGTAAAAAGGCTTTATAACAACTGTAGGCACAACCAAAAACTTTGATCTGACCTCCTCTGTGTCCTGTTCCCAAAACATATCCTTTCTCAGTTGCTGCCTAACTCATTAGGCTCCTCCCTGGTTTCTCTCTCCTTTTCTCTGCACTTGAGCAGAACTACTCCAGTACAGCGAGCCTGGTGCTTAACCCATCCAAGTCCAATCAATATGCAGAAATTAGGCACCACTTTACCTAAGCCCCTTAAGAAGCCCAGGCTGTACCCTTTCAGCTGCCCTAGAAAACACAGCAATAGGATAGCAACCCTCAGAAAAAGCAGATACAGCTCCTTTCTTTGAAAGTGCCTGGAAGAAAACATCACATTGCATTCATCCAACAGCCTAATAATTAACTCTATCCCAGCTGAAACCAGGACAAATGTATATGTATAGCTCCAAATTCTTTCAGGCAAGAAAAAGAGGGCATAGAAAGAATACAACTTTTTATGCTCTTGACTGGCCATTCATCTGGGGAAATAAGGACACTGACATCCTAGTCTCTGCATCAGGACTTACATGCAGTTACCTTTCTTTTAAAAACAGGAACAGTTCTGGAAACAGAGCTTCTGCTTTACCCTTCCCAACAGTGCTCTAACCACTGGGATGCAGAACCATACACAGTCCTTCTGTCCCCACCGCTCCTGCAATCTGCCCTCTTTCTGTTGAGAAGTCCAGCTTTAACGCAAGGAGGTGAGAATGCCCTCACTCAGCCTAGATGACAGCACAGTAACTATGGCATTCTGCTGAAAATGTAAATGTTAGACCTGCATGGACATCATTCTAAAATGGAGTGGGAAAAAACCAAAAGGCAGCATAATGCATATTTCATAGCACAAAATTCAAAATATTCTTCATCAGTAAAAACTAAACTGAGGCAACAGTTAAAAAAAAAAAAAAACAAACCACCAAAAAATCCTACCTACCATTAATTCTAACAGATAGAATTCACATTCTAGTATCTGCAAAGAAGTAAAATCACAGTTAAACAGCAGCATGTTTCAGACGGCAGAAAGAATTAACTGGCATCCAGTTTAACAGCATGAACACACAGGAATTCTCAACACACATTTCCAACAGTCCTAAATGCATTTCACCTGAAACTACAAAACCAAACAAAAGTCAAACTATTAGCCATTGCCATTACAACTTAACTCCAGTCACAATAGCAATGCATTTAAACATTTTGGATCAAGTTTACTATGAAAGACTACTTCATTGGCAGTACTTGTGTGATTCGTTTCAACACCTGGCAGCAGCAAATTGCTCCCAGTGTATAAACACTTAACAGAACAGCAGTAAGGAAGTCCTTTTGTAGAATGAGAGCCTCTTCATCAGGCCACTAACATGCCAAATGGACTTTTAAAGTATTTTCAGATTTAATTTCATATGAAATATTCTGTCCAGTTGTAGCAATTAAATCAGCTCTCATTTTCCACAGAGATAGTGACGTATTAGTGATACCAAGGAAAAGACTGGACTACTTTGGCTATAGGAAAGCAGTACCCCAAAATATATTTCCATTTGCCTTTATCTGTAAAATAGCAGTGCAGTTTTATTGCAAGGTCTTAGATACTTTATATTCCGATATATCATTTGGCTTTCTAGATTGGGTGAAAAGCAAACCAACAAAAAAGTAGTATTTGTCACAGTCAATCTAAAAATAATTAGATCTGTTTAACTTTCAAAATACTACAGCACAGGTCAAAACTGGTTTCAAGAAAAACTACAACATTTCTCAGCATTGTGACTGAGAATGCCTTGAAAACCACTGGCAAATGTAAATTTTAAATAGTAAATAAAAATTATTTTTCAAAAGCCATTACATCTTGCAGGCAAAAATAAAACTGCTTTCTGTGTGCCAACTGCTCCTGCATGCAAGCTTGGAAGCTTCCCAGGTGCAAGGGCTATTTACCTTCCCTGCAGCAATGTATTTGTAAACAAGAACATTCCAAAAAGCTAGATCTCTTTTATCATCATACACCCAGTCACATCGCTTCTCTTTATACCATTCCTGTCAACAATTTAAGGAGAGGAGGTTATATAAGATTTATTACTTTTAAAAGTAACTTTCCCAATAATCTGTCCAAAACTAATTATGAGCAACCTGAAAAGTGAGTATGAAAATATTTCTTTCTTCAAATTTAAAAGACAGGATTTCCTGCTAACAATTATTTGTCTTTTAATTTATTTGATCAAGTTTTCTTTCGAACAGCATACTTACATGGTTCATCCTATAAGGAAACTCCTTTGGAAAGGCATACGAAAACCTAGTTTTCACTACAGTAAAGAGAAATCAGTATGTTAAAAATTACGTAATTAATAGTTTTACTTCTTTCCCTTTCTATTAATTCATCTGTATATAGCCCTTCAAATCCATTTGGCAGCACAACTGCTTGCAGTATAAAAGGTTTTTATTTGAAAGAGAAAAGTTAAGTTACAAGATTTAAGATCCTGAAAGGGAAACAGAAATAGACCTGAAACCCAGATTTGCACAGGACTCAGCCAGACAGTTGTCTGCTGCTTTGGGCACTATTAAATCTTCTGGTTAACCACCAACTAGCTTATGGGCACCTAACTTTCCACAAGTTATCATTCACAGAGCTAGGTACCTACTGATACCACTCCAAATCTGCTGATGTCTTCAGGATCTCAGTTCCAACACTAAATCGAAATGGAATTTTCACATGGGATTTTTTACATAGACTTGATCCTTCAACATGCAAGATTTTAAAGCATGTAATGAAGTCTTAGAAAAGCAAGACCAAGGGCAGAGTGAGGGAACTCAGACAAGAGATCTTGTATGTCCACGATGTAAAGATTTTGGATATGCAAAAACCAGGCTCAAATTCAAAGCAAGAAGTCAATTCACCACACTGCAGATCAATGTCCTAGGCACCGAATTATCAGACATTTCAAGGGTGTTTCTCTCCTCAAGAGAGACACCTAAGCATCTGCTTAGGCATATAAGGCACTTGCCTCCATGAGAATGTTCAAATATACCCTCAGTTTTCTAGCTTATGATGATCCCTGATTTAGATACCTAATTATACTCATGCATTTTACAAGGACAACAGGTACAAATAGTGCAGTCCAGAATTATGTTCAGTTGCAAAACCAGAGTGATCTCATATTAGAACGCTGAGCAAAGAAAAACTTAAGTGCACTTGAGGATGTGGATTTGAGATTTGTACATGTGAAACATTTAAAAAACTATTTGAAGTTCCTGTCCTTCAAGGAAAACAAGTAACGTTTAACATCCTGGAAGTGGATGATATTCCTTATATTACTGACAGATGGTGTATTATGAATTGATACTACTTCCAGAAAATCAGTACACCATTCACTCTGATGAAAAGATAGTGTCAGTCTATCTCTGGACTAAAGACTTCAACATTTAGATCTATGGTGGACTTTGCTAGAAAAATTGCTGTGGGACAGTAAGACGAGGCTACTGACTGGAAATTTTAATTATTTCAAGAAAGAGAAGAATGAACAAAACAGGTGTCTCATGAAGCATGCAAACTGAAGACATACATAGTAAAAAAATAAACCACTTTGAGGGGGAAGATAGGGAAACAAAACATTTTTCCCACAAAGCAAGCTGCAGACACAACCATATGGAGCTGTCCTTTTAGTGAGCTGTGGAAACACAGCAAAAAGCTTTTGAAGTTGCCAGAAACCAATCTGAGATTATCTTCCTTACAAAGGAAGAATGTGTTACTAACTTCACATTTCTACCTAACTAAACAAACCTTTTCAACTGACCACTATTACGCCAGTTACCCCTTTTGTTAGCTTTCTTTTACTTGTCTCACTTCATCTTTCTCTGCCTTTCGTATGAAGACCTCCACAATAACTGCCTGAAGCAACTGGTAAAGGAAGAGTAGGTAGAATAAAAGACATAAATGCTAGGAGGAAGCCTGTTGCTTTTTGTCCCCACTTCCATGAAATGCGGACTATTTATCAGGGCAGGCAGGGCTTCTAGGTCTGAAGGAAGAACTGTGGGGGAAATCCTCTGCAGGATTCTGAGACTGGATTTTCAGAAACAGCATAGCTCAGGACTATAAGTCCAAGTAAAATCAGCTACTGCATATTTACCAAAATCCATCTAACTTTCTCACTGATGCATCAAAACTGCCACATAAATCTGTGCTTTGAGATGCTACTGCTGTAAAAATAGCAACTCTTACTTCTAAATTCAGTACTGGTCTTGGTCATGCTGGCACTAAAGATGCGTTTCAGTTCCTGCTGGTGGAACTGTCACACGGCCAGCCCCATGGACCGATACACTTACTGCATGTGGAGGCTACGGATGAGGCCAGTCACCTGTCCCCTCAACAGCTAAGAAGTATTTTGAAAGCAATGACCTACACTTTGAAGAGCACAGCCAGGAATTGCCTACTGAGAGCAGCTGGACCTTCTGGGTCAAATTACAGTATTCCGTTAAGGAAGCCATCACTAAGACCTTGAAAGATGAGATGCAAGTTACAGGAGCTGGGAAACACAAGGCAAGTGGGAAAGATAGAGAATTACGTAACTACAGTGTGATTTTATTGCATTTATTTGTGAACAATACATAGGTTATAAAATGTATTTTTAGAAATAAATATCACGTGCAAAGACTAATTTTATGATGGAGGAAAAAAGGTAAAAAAATTTTGGAGGTATACAGACTACCAAAAATTCCGAAAACAGGTACCTCCATGGAGCCATATCTTTTATAAAACAGACAAATAAAGGCCTAAGTTTCCAATTCTATCTTCGAATAGTTCAGAAGTCAATTTACTACTCAAGACTGTTTATAAACCTCAATAGTTTAATTTTATTACTTTGTTTTTATTTATGCTCGGCATAAGTTCCAACCAAAATCAACCAAAACGAATACAGAAAGGACCCTTTTGTTTCCATATTTAGAAACAAATTATTTATTCTAAATGGCTTTAACTGGCTCCTAGCAGTCAACACACAAGCCCCCCCATGACTTGATAAAAAGTACCTTTTAAAAACAAGCAAACAAAAAAAACCCACAATGTCTGATGTCCCTATAGAGATACCTAACTACAGTATAATGAAAATCACTGATACTCACATACAGAAGTAGCAGCAGAAATCAACCTTGTATTTGAAACAACACCAAATTCCTGAAGAAAAAGAATAGTAAATTAGGTGAACCACCTGAAAGACCATATACTCACACTGTTATCAAATTAAAATAATGGCTTCTTTCTAAACTGGGCTTCTTTATGCAGTACTTCTTTTTTTCCCCCCACCCCTTTTTCTTTCCCTTTTTTTTTTCTTAAGGTGAACAGGGTAAACTCTTAGGCAAAGAGGTTTTTTCATTGATTAGTTACTTTGCTGTTTGAGTTGTGACGAACAGTAAACATTTATGAAAGGTACTAAAGCCACAAAAGCTCAGTTGGCTAACACTCGACATAAAAAATAGACAAGAGGGCTTCAAGAAGGTATGTTGTTTTTCCTTAATCCACTTGGAGAGAAAACTGCCTTTAGAAACCTGTCATTAATTATCTTTTTTTATTATGTTTCTATGAAGCCTTAGCTCCTCTGCTGAGACAGTCAGCAAGCTGAAAATTTTCTGTATACAGTATTCTTTCAGAGAAGTGCATAGGTGAATCATTACTGCTACAGCTGCCCTCTAAAATTGCAGACGCTTTAGCCTAAGGAAGGCTGCGCAGACTTTCAGCACTTGTTCTAAAATATAAGCTACATCTGCATATATACACTCTATGTCTGTACTTTCTTAAAGGCTTAATTAACAGGCTGATAAAAGAATACTCTCTCCAATACTCTGCATCTTCCTCCTTCATCTCTTCCAAACACTGGAAGGTATCACAGAATTTGTACAGACAACAGTATCACATGTAGACACTGGTTTAGAGGGACTGCTTCTACCATCCACTAGGTATTTGAGCTCCTCCTGTAAAATTCATTAATGCTGACATATCACAAATTAGCCAATTTGACTTTTTTTCCATTACGCAGACACTTCTCAAACAGCTGAAAAACTTCTCGCATTACAGAGGACTAAAAGCAGCGCCCAGCTGATGTTAACTCTTGGCCACATTCAAAGTGGACTTCTAATGGTGGAGGCATGGAGCCTTCTCACTACTATCCTTAATGGGTCAGTTCCTTAGGACAATTTCTCAAAGACAGTGTATGAACCACAAAATACTTTTAATTCAAGTAATGAAAGTGTGGTAAACTCTGAGGGTCCCTCACTATATGAAAGGGAAAAGGATAATTAGGAAAAAATTCCAAATTATGTTTTAAAGTTTGAGTAAACATAAATAAGGAAAAACACACCAGAAAGGAGACATTACACAATTTAAGATACAGTGTATATAGATATGTAAACACTGTATCACAGTGAAACAGCCATTTAAAATACTCTTTCCAATTTTCAGAGGCCCTTCAGGGTTAGTAATTCAGACAAAATTGTGAAAGATCAAAGACTAAATAACATGTTTGAAGGCCTTCGCCATCTCCTTTTCTTAAATTGCTATAGAAATCCATACAAAAAGAGAAGGTTTCAACCCCCAAAGCATGAAGAACGACAAAAAAATTAAAAGTCCTAAACTTTTTTTCTCTCTCATACATCACATAATTTTACATTAAAAAATTGTAATACTTCATACCTCTACTTTGGATGCCAAAAACACACACGTAGGAGCCATTAATACTGGATCTATACTTTTTAGGGAATATCTGAAATGTTATAACAAAATTATAATATGTTGTTTCATACACGTAGAACGATTAATCTATTAAGAGCACCACACTTCCTTTTGAAAAAGCAAAGCTTAAGTTAAACTTTATTAGCATAAAAGCTTTACACCATCCAGAAAACAAAAGTGGCACTGTTTTTAATACAGAACTGCATTTTAAAAGGGCTACCAAAATGTGCCTAGCAAATGTTTTATTCTTGTACCATCATAGTAAACAGTCCTACCTGGCATAGAATCTCTTGAAGTAGACTGTAGCAGTGGCAATAACTTGTTGTCTTAATTTAAGATGTTCACCTAAAGCCTGGATAACTTAAAAAAAAAAAAATGAACAACAGCTTGAGTTGAGTTTTTACAACAGTTTGACACCAAATAGCAAAGGATCTCAAAACATGAGTAGTGCTGGGGATTCTAAGGAGCAGCAGCAGAGTCTTCTCCCTCAGTTCAGATACAGTGTTGTGGTGAGACAACATGTTGCTGTAAACCTGCAGACCTGCAGGTGAAGAAGAAGCAGCACTGCATCCTAGAGCTTGTGAACACCTTCAAAAAGGGAACAGTAACTTGACTTCACTGTGTACAAAGTGAGTATGACCTTTAAGAAGATGACAACACAAATCTCAGAAGGCTAAAGCTTGGGTATTCCATTTTAGAGCTAACGAAATTCAAGCACTTAAAATATAATTCTGTGGCTTTTCAGTGCCATGCAAAATGGATGTGTTTTTTTGAAACAACTAAAGCTGCCAACACAAACATGGTCATTAAATTTGGCAGAGGCAGCAGGTGTTAAAAAATGACATATTTAGTCTAGGGAGAGGGGGTGGGAGACCAGAGGATGCAGTCAGCTGCTCCATCACAGTGGTCCTCTGCCAGTTGGCCAAGAAAACAACCCTGGTGTCATCTGTGCAGGTAGCTCTTGTTTGGCCTCCCAGGCAAAGGAAAGGTGCCAAGCAAATTAGATGCATCGAGCTGGGATTAAGAGCAGGGGTTGGATATAGAGAATGGCACAGCGAAACATAAGGTTGTTACTTGTTATTTTTCCCCATAGTTCTTCATGGCCATTACTCTGAGTGAGGCTTGGCTGTGTTAAGATTCCCTCTTCTTTTTTCCCTTGCTCATCAAAAATGTCCAAAACAATAATTTAAAATACACTTACATATATATTTAAAATATGTACAGCAAGAACAAGACAGTGACCACTGATGGGAAAAGCAAACAATTCTGTTATCAGTCATCACTAAATTCTTAGTCTCTACTGAAGCACAGAGGTCCAGATTTTTTCCCCCACGCTCTTATCCCATATCCCTTGGGAACAGTCAGGGTACATACACCCTACTCTCACTTTTCATGGACATCGCAGCGTTTTCAAACACGCAAATATCAAGGACATTGTTGGCTAGAAAAGGGCTGAATGTAGGAGAAAAGGAGAAAACCATCCTGAACAGCACTGATGATTGACAACTTTTTTTTTTCCCCCCACAGGACAAGGTAACTAATTTGTCACCCACTATGATTACCCAAAGGAGCATTAAGTCCCTGTCTGTGTCATATCACTCTTTTCCTAAAGAGAAGAAAGCCAAATTGAGACTAGCTTGCCAGTGGCAGTAGGACAAGCAATACTGCCAGAAAGGAGGTTAAGCCCAGTATGCAATGTCTGTACAAATATTAAAATATTTATCAGCATATCTTGGGAGGTTTGAAAAGATTTTTCCCCTTTGATTTGACCATGGGGCTACAAAGCTGTCCTACTACTAAGGCATCAGAAAAATTCAAATATTAAGCTAAACAGAATTTTCCAAATATGTTTCTCACTCCCATGGGATTTTCAGGAACTGTTAGGCCATCTGCTGTCAGAGAAAAATCAAGTGCGGTTTAGGGAAAAAAATGGACAAGAGCCTAGAGAGACTTAATGAAATGGAAGCTTGTATATGCTGGGAAAAAGTCCAATACTTGTAATTCATTTTTTAAATATTTTAAAATAAGCTGTTGGATTATTTATTCCCTTGTGTTTGCAAAATAAGTAGTTTCAGTGGGGTTTTTTTTAAATAAAAATTGTTTAAAACTGAGTATCTTGAGTAGCCTGCAACACAAACATCACAGCTTCTGCCCTAAGCCAAAAAAGGAAATCAATTAATGCGCTTTTCAACCAAAAACTCTATTAAGACTTGGTGATCCAAAGAGAAAAAGCAACACCATTTTCCTTTTTCAATCTATTTTAGAAGATGATAGTTTTCCTTCCCTACAGTATTAACATTCTGAGTAGTCGCGCACGGCCATACAATCAGTTGGTGATCTACTGCACTTGTTTTCCAATGAGGAAGCAGCAGGAAACTGCCTCTCTCCAGGCAATTTTTTGGTTGCTTTAGGGAACAACCATCTCCTGGGCAGGCAAACGCTGAATGTGACCAGCCGTGGCCAAGACTCACATCCCTACCCAGGTAATGCAGGAGGTGGGACAGAAGAGGGGGAGGCTCTATAAACCCAAAGCAGGGTCCCTATGCAGCGGCAGGTGATGGCACGACACACATCAAGGGCTTGAACGTGGCAAGCTCTTCCTGAGCTCCCACCAGTACAGAGCAGCCCCTGACTGTCCCCCCCCACCAAGGTGCCTCTCTTTGCTACAGAAGGGGTGAAAGCCCAGCACCTTCTCTCCTCCAGGGTAAGCCGTGTTCGGACGCGCACAAGGGAGATGCTGGCAGAGCTGTTCTCCAGCTGCCACAGGTCACGCACTGAACCTTCAGGAGAGGCGAGGAACGCCAAGGAAAAGGAGCCCGAGAACCACAAACCGAAACCACCTTGTCTACTTTGTAAATCTTTGTTTACTCAAGAAAAAATACTGAAGCAAAACATTTAAAAAAGCATATTGCATAATTCAAAGTAATACTAGTGAAAATTAGCATAGAAATACAGTTTTAGCAATATCAGTGCCCCGTTTTCTCTTTTTGCATTATGAAGCGATGACACTTTGTTTTAACCTCAAGGAATTTCAGGAATTGATCAAATACGTAAATCATTGCTAGCTTGCTTTCCTGGTGCTGTATAAGCGATAACACAGAGGTATCCACATCAATCACATATGCAGCACACGCAATTATTATAAAAATAGCTAAGCTAAGAGAGAAGCTGGGATAAGTATCTTTCACAGATATCATTCCAGCATTGACATAAGATCTTCCAGTGGCCTTGGGAAAGTCACTTAACTTCTCTGTCTCAAGTCTGGCCACATAGCTGAAAAAATAAGCACTCTGTACTTTAAAAGACTGCTGTGAAAAATATTTAAAAAGCTGCCTGCAAACAAGTTACTACTTAGCCGTATCCTTTGCTTAGGGAGATTTTTTTAAATGCTGAACAATTGCACAGAAAAGAGTTTAAGTGCCTGCGTAATCTGATATGCTCCAGTGCAGCCATTCATATGGTTAAATGCTTTGCAGGCTCAAGTAAGTCTTAGATAACTACACAGGCAAGCCCCAAACTCTTTGGGAGACCAGGCTGCCTGCCAACAGCTCTCAGAAACTTGTAGACAATTTGAGAGCCACCCAGTGCTGGGGAATCAGTCACAAGGCAAGACACAGGCTGTGGTGCAGGTTTCAAAGAATGTAACTGAACACAAATAACAAGTTTCCAAGCTTTGCTGTTTAATAGGACTGCACAGATCAGCTAAAATACTTACCACAGCCTAAGAGCCTACCAAAGGCCCAGTCTGAGTACTAATGCTTGACGCAGAGCCTTTAATATGCTAGCCTAAGAGTTTCTGCTTGCTTTTCCTCCTTTTATGTTTTTGGCAAGAACCTCTTGAAAATAAGAAAATGTACTATGTTTTGTCCCATCACAGGTTAAAACATTTTATATGCAGCTAATTTGCCTATAAGTTCTCCTAAAATTGTGTTACTACAACTAACAAATGACAACGTTATCAATATTCCAGTTCTCTGTTAAAACAGCTTGTTAAAGCATATGTAATACTACAATTAAAACATTACATTCTCTAAGCAATTCAAACGTGCATTTAGACGTGGCAGATACTGTACAGATTTTACGGCAGAAATAAAAATAAAACAGTTTTACCATTAGTAAAAAATATCTGTAGTTTCCAATATTCTTCTTCAGTCAGAAATTTCAAGTCCTTCTGGCGTTCCTTCAATAGATCTTGTTTATCCAAAATCCATTGTAAACTAAAGGAAGGGGAAAATTATTTCAGCAACTCTTTGTTGACATGAGATCGAGCGACTCCTGTACAGACTACCGATTGCAGGTCGGGGCTAGGGGGCTAGCGACCTTTAACCAAACCACATACAATCTTCTCAGGCCAATGCTCGCCAGGGTTTTCAGAGTTAGACATCTGAAAAAACCCACTAGCTCGCAGGGACTCAGCTTGGCCTTTACCTCCAGTGAACGAAACGGGCTGCACAGCTCTGAGGCGCCGTGGGTTACTGGCGAGGCTTGCGTTAGGTTTGGCGCACCAGAGGCACCCGCCTGAGCCCCGACGCGCTCAGCCCGAGCGATCTGACCGCAGGTCTCTCCCGGAGAGCCCAAACGCTTCCGCAGTCCCGGCGAAGCGAGGCCGGCCGGCACG